ATGTTTTATTTTTACCTAACAATTTTGAAGACCTTGTTTTTCTTATTACAAAAGTATTGTGTAAAAAACACACACATACCTCCATCCCACACAGTACTGTCCCTGTGGCTGGGGCTCAGGTGACATCCTGGATGTTCCTGGGTGGGCTTGTGAGGCTACCCTGGGGCAGACACCTGGGCATGCCCAAGGCAGGAACACTTTGTGTCATGGGTGCGTCCCCTTTTTTTGAGATACAATTCACATAAATGAGCCATTTTAAAGTGTACAATTCAGGTTGGTTTTTAGTATACTTTTTAGTTTTTAATATGTTCACTATGTTGTGAAACCATCACCTCTGTCTAACTCCAGAACATTTCCATCACCCCAAAATGAAACTCTGTACTCATTAAAGCAAAATTACTCCCCATTCTTCCTCCCCTCAGCCCTTGGCAACCGCTGATCTCCGCTTTGTCTTTATGGATTTGCCTATTCTGGACTTTTCATATAAATGGAATTATACAACATGTGGTCTTTGTGTCTGGCTTCTTTCACTGAGCATAATGTTGTCCAAGGTCCCACCATGTATCAGTACTTCATGCCTTTTTGTTGCTGAGTAATATCCCATTGTATGGCTAGACCACATTTTGTTATCCATTCATCAGCTGATGGACGTTTGGGTTGTTTCCTCCTTTATTGTGATTAGTGCTGCTATGAACATTGGTGTACACGTTTTTGCTTGAACACCTGTTTTCATTCCTTTGGGTGGATCCCTCACAGTGGAATTGCTGCATTGTGCAGTCACTCCGTGTTTCACCTTTTGTGGAACCGCCAGGCTGCTTTCCACAGCTAGCTGCATCATTTTACATTTCCACCAGCCATGTGGGATTGCGTTCTGCACTTGCCTTTTCTCTGCCAGGTCTTTGTACCCATCTGTCCTGGTTAAGGCAAACTGAATGTGGAGAGTGCTGGATGGGGCTACCACTTCACCCGCAGCAAGGGTGGCACGACAGGGCTTACTTCCAACACCTTGCTGGTCCCAGTGTGCAAGTGACACTTTTTGAAACCTGGACCCCTTAGCTTGTCTGCTTTATTTTACAGCAAGCTCCACATTCTAAAGAAAGCATGGCCCTTGGCCTCCCCCAGGCAGGGCCTTTGAGGACCCCTTAGGAGTCATGGTCACTGAGCCTGGCTCCATCAGCCCTGGGCATGGTCTCTGTTGTAGGTTAGACTCATATCCATCTGCTGTTGGGATGGTCAGTGCTGGTGGGCAGGTGGGGCCCACAGCTGCTTGGTCCTCAGCATGCCCATGTCATTCCCCACTCCTGTTCTTGGGACGCTGCACAGTCAGTATCTCAGAGCGGACAGGCAGAAACACAAACACAGGGTAGGTTAGCAGCCAGTCCGCCTCCCATCTGGAAAGAATATCCTCAGACTCAAAGCCACAGGTGTTTGGGAAAGAGAGGCTTCCCTCTCACATTCTCCTCCTGGTTCACGTGGTGAAGAGTCACTCGGTTAAGGGTACACACATGCCAGTGTTCAGTGTCACACAGATGTTCTCACACTTTCTTGCAGAAGTCCCTCACCCTAGGGCCTCCGAGCACTCCCCCTTGGTCTCGAGCTCCAGCTGGCTAATTTGCCAGGTGGAACAACCAAGGCACAAAATGGCAGTTGCCACAGTGGGGAAAAATGTTGGATTTCCAAGGAAGTAGCCCTGCTCAGTGGCACCATCAAGGATCAGTGCTCTCGTGGTCCTGGACGCAGCTTCATGAAGTCTTAGTTAACCCAGGCCCTGTGTGGCTTTGAGGTGCCAATGGGGAGGAGCGGCCTCACCTATCCTGGGTCAAAGGCCAGTCTCACACAGGCCTGGAGGGCACAGGAGGCTTGTGCAATGATCACTGCGATGGGAGTGAGGGCTGTTTGAGAAACCTCAGGTCCTGGTGGGGTCCTGCCCTTACTGTCACACTTGCATCTTTAAGAGCATACCCCAGACCAGTTACTTGCTGAACACATGACCCAACAAGCCACCTTTTTTTCCCTTCTCCCCAAAGCCCCCCCAGTGCATAGTTGTATATTCTAGTTGTAGGTCCTTCTGGCTCTGCTATGTGGGACACCGCCTCAGCACAGCCTGATGAGCAGTGCCATGTCCATGCCCAGGATGTGAACCAGTGAAACCCTGGGCCACTGAAGCTGAGCATGCGAACTTAACCACTTGGCCACGGGGCCGGCCCCCAAACAGGCCACCTTTAACGCAGGCCCTTCAGCTTCTCATGCTCTGGCAGGTGGGCTCCTGAAGAGCAGAGCAGTGACGACTGAGCTGCTTCTATGGCCCCTCACTATCTGCAGGACGTGTCTAACTCTGTGTTTTCCCCCTTAGTCAATTAGGTGTGTCTCATTTCCACTCAAACACGTTTGCTGCCAGAGTGCTGACTGTGATGCATTTCTGCCATTGTGGTTATGATGTCCAAGGGCGAAACCATCCTCCAGAGACAGTTGACAGCAGCATCCTGAGGAGAACTACGTCCACTCACTCTGAAGTGTCTTTGGCTGGAAACCTGGAGAGAGTCTTGGTTAAATGCTTCCTGATTCCTTTTAGTTCCTGATCAAGTTACTTCAGGCTGCTGGGTGGCCCTGGGCAACTGCTTGTTAGAAATTTGCAAAATGGGTGGAAAAGTGACAGTGTGTCAAGGAAGAGTTGGAGCAAGCAATTTCACTGAGTCAACTCAGGCTTCTGGAATGCTTGATAAAGGAATCTGCCTTCCACAGAAGAGGGAACACAGAGCTCACGGGGAACCTGAACCTTGTGCTCAGTGAGGCAGGATTTACTGTGGTCACATATTCGTTGCCTGAGGCTGTGCTGCACAGATCTTTGTTCTTGTTGCTCATAGCCACAAAGGGCAAGGAATGACAGGTACTGCCAAGGCTACTTGGTTGTTTAAACAATCAGATTTTATTGATAAAGGGGAACAGAACGAGGAGCGGGGAAGCAAACAACAAATCAGTACTTACTACATCCACACCATAATAAACCTGGAAGTTCCACTAGTTGGTATGGCGGGTGGGAGTGCCAATTGTCCGGGTCTGAGGCAAAGTATCCTCTCCACAGTGAAACTCCTAATTGTTCTATGCCTGTGACTCCCTTTTATCCTAATGTTTTTTGGGTTCTGACTCACGGTTTTAGACATTTAGATACTTTGAGTTATTTCTCCTTGTTCCCACAGATGGGATGTTTTTATCTTTTTGTTCTCACGGATGGGATGTTTTAATAGTCTGGTCAGGTGCCCGTGGGGGTGGCCAGCCCAGACAAGGAACATGACGCAGGACATTTTCTTATTAACTTGTGCCTTGGGGTCAGGGTTGAAGTGGCCATCTCCGGCTCCGAGCCCAGACACATTCTTTTATGTAGGCCCAAGATCCCAGTGTCCCTGGAGGGTGGGGAGGTCAATGAACTCTGTACAGTTCTGGAAGTAACAAGAACCTAGGGAAAATTCCCATTCTTATGTGTCAGCTCTTTAATAGGTCAGTTGTCAGTGACGGTCATTGATCAGTAACCTGATCGACATGCAAGTCCTCTTCCTCCTCCTTTCCATTTTCTAGGCACCAGGTGAGCCTTCTTGTTCTGACCCCTCTGTGCATATTGGCCGCACTTCAGAGTCACCCTCTCTGCTCTGCATGTTGCATCCATGCCCCAAATGGGACCATTCTGAGCTGAATGTGTGTCCTTCAAGATTCCAGGCTAAACATTTATAGTTTGTTTCACCTGAATGGCATCTTGATGAGTATACTGTGTTTTCCCAGTAAATTGTATAAAGAGCTTGGAAGAAACCACTGTGGTAGACAGCATCATGCCCCCTTCCTTGAAAGATGTGTACATGCTGGTCCCCTGATCCTGCGAATGTTACTTCACATGGCAGAAGGGACGATGAGGTGTGATTGAGGATCTTGCTATGGGTGGTTATCCTGGGTTCTTTGGGGAGCCCAGTGTCATCACAGTGACTTTATTTAAGAAAGGGCAGGAGGCTCAGAGTCTAAGAAGGAGATGTGATGACTCAAGCAGAGAGTGAGACATCTGGTGTTTCACTGCTGGCTTTGAAGATGGAAGACAGGGCCGTGAGACAGGTAGCTGGCATCTGGAAGCTGGAAAGGGCAAGCAAATGGATCCTGCCTTTGAGCCTCCAGGAGGAAGCCATGCGGCTGAAACCTTGATTTAGGACTTGTGACCTCCAGAACTCTGAGATGCATTGGCTTTGCTCTCAGCCACTAAATTTTCAGTAATTTGTTACAGCAGCAACAGGAAACTAATAATGGCCATGGTGGAACTGGAAATAGTAGGAGCAGGGATAAGGCCTTCATGGGGTTGGCTCATGCTGGAATGATCGGGGCCCACGCTCAGCTGTTTACTTTTACAGTTATCATACCCATTTTATGGATGAGGCTGCCAGACCTGAGAGCTAAGTTTGCCTGGGAGAAGTGGGGAGACGCAGACCTGGTGTCCAGCCGTGCTGCCAGGTGAGTCCCATCTCACACTTCCCAGAAGAGCTGGCTGATGGCAAGTGAATGGGGCTGGGCCAGGCCAAGGTAGGGAGGCAGGAGGGCATGCTGCTGGGAGGCTAGTGCTCAGAAGTGGAGGAAGTATTCTGGGGAGTGGACAGCTGAGCAATTGGGGTGTCTCTGTTGTTTGGGGGAGGGGGCCACTGAGGTCCCAAGCCAGGGGTGATGGTGCTCCAGCAACGGGTGAGGAGAGATGATGCTGGGGAGCAGAGAGAGTCAGGGAAGCTGTTCTCTGGGGCCTTGGTGGTGGCCTAGGGTGTGGCTGAGAGTAGGGGCAGGAGGCCCCAGGGTTCTCATTGCCCATGTCATTTCTTGTCCCCTTTCCCTGGGCTGCGGAGAGCTGGGGCCACCCAGTAGGCATCAGTCCTGGCACGGTTCTCCACTTCTCCCCTCCTGGGAACTGCCAACCTCCAATTCTCCTCTACTCTTCCAGATCCTACAGCCAGGACACCGTGTTGGGGGCTGGCCCCAGGATGGAGGCTTAGGCCCAGAACTCTGGGTAGGGGGGCATCCCCAAGGCAGATCCCCAGGGAGCCAACAGGGACCAGGAGGAGAGGCCCAAGGCAGAGTTGAGGCCCTCGGAAGAGGACAAAGCCAAGAGACACCTGTCTCAGGAAGGAGATGTGCGTGGAGGGACAGCGGGTGGCAGGACGACTACCCCGGGTGGGGGCTCCCCGAGCTGGGGCCTTGGTGTGAGCTCCAGCCCAGGGACTCTTCAGAGTGAGGGAACTGGACCCCTGGTGTAAGAGCGGTGTGCCTCCACCTCCTCTCAGGACCCTGACCTGGTTGCAGGCTGGGGAGGACCCCTGTCAGTGCCCAGCGGGTGCCAGGGCCTCCAACCATAACTCCTGTCTGATGTGGCATCACAGAGCATCCCCTGGGGAGAAGCCCCCAGTATGTGACCACTGTGGAGGCCAAGCGCCGCTCTGGAGCTCCCCTCAGGCTCAGCTGTGTGCGGTCCACACAGACTATCCACCCTGTGAACAGCGCACAGATGCCCAAACCTTCCCTAGGACCCCGAAGCCGACCCCCCTCCAGCAGAGACCCTTGGTGGAGCGTGTGTGCCGCTGCGGCAAGGTCTTTGCCTGGAGGGCCCCACTAGCCCCGCAGGAGCTGATGCAGGAGGCCAAGGAGTGCCGCCCGTGTGCCGGGTGCAGAAAGCGCTTCGGCCCCAACGAGCAGCAGCAGGTGGGCGAGGGCCCCTCGATGTGTCCCCAGGGCGGCCAGGCCTCGAGTCCTCGCCCCAGGGCCCTGGCCCAGCGGCTGTACGCGTGCGATGAGTGTGGCAGGGCCTTCACGCGCACGTCGAGCCTGCTGCAGCACGAGCGCATCTACACGGGCGAGCGGCCCTACGAGTGCTGCGAGTGCGACCAGGCCTTTGTGCGCTGCTTCGGCCTCTACCGCCACCGGAGGACGCACTCGGCCGAGCGCCGCGGCCCGGCCCGCGGAGGGCCTTCCTGCTGGGGTGTCCGCCCTGCGGCGACTGTGGTGAGGGGGCCCCGCGGCCCCCACGGGCGCCCGTGGCCGGGGAGAAGCTGTACGAGTGCGCCGAGTGCGGCCAAGCCCTTCGGCCTGTTCTCGCACCTCGTGGAGCACCGACGCGTGCACAAGGGCAAGAAGCCGTACACGTGCCCCGAGTGCAGCAAGGCCTTCAACCAGCGCTCGAACCTGAGCCGGCACCAGCGCACGCACAGCAGCGCCAAGCCCTATGCGCGTGCGCGCTGTGCGAGAAGGCCTTCAAGGGCCGCTTGGGGCTGCTGCAGCACCAGCGCGCGCACACGGACCAGCGGCCCTACGGCTGCCCCAAGTGCGGTAAGGACTTCCGAGCTGCGCCAACACGAGCGCCTGCCCTCAGGCGAGAGGCCCTTCATTTGTGCCGCCTGTGGCAAAGCCTTCGTGTGCAACTGCAGCCTGGTCCCCCACCGGCGCACGCACACGGGCGAGTGGCCCTACGCGTGCAGCGAGTGTGGCCGTGCATTCAGCCAGGGCTCCAACCTCAACGAGCACCGGAGGCGGCACGCGGGCGGCGGGGCACCTCTCCCGCGAACCTCTCCGACGTGTTGAGCGCTATTAAACCTCACTCTGTACGCACCGCGTCCACCAGTTCCCGCACACTGGAGTGCCACTCGACCCTCTCCAACCGGGCGCATAGCATCCGATTCAGGCGGGATGGAGCACTGACGTGCCCCAGAGGCTGGGTCACTATCGCAGGAGTCTGTCCCTCTGCGTCCCGCGGGAGGCACTACCGCGCCCGCTGGGACGTGGGGAAGCGAGATAAAGTGACTCCCCAGGGGCACAGCCAGAACATGGAGGAGATATGGTTCGAACCCAGGACCTCTCCCTGCCCCTTCCTGGGGGCTTCAGTAGCCCTTGGTGGCCTCAGGCGTTTGCACACCCTCTAGTGTAGCTGGGCCCCCGCCTCCTCCCTGAGATCTTGGAGATGCCTCCCTGGGCTTTGGGAGAGAGACTTTTCACGCCGCCTGACCCTCACGGAGGCCAACGGCCTGAGCTTGAGGGGCGGGGCCTCAGCCTGCCCGACCCCTGGGCGGCTATGTAGTCGTCACAGAGCGGGGGAGCCCCCCTTGTGGGGGAGGTGAGATTCCAGGGCAGCCTTGGCCTGGTCTGTGATTGGCAGATGGGGGCGTCCTCATGTTATGTCCAAGCCATGTGGTTCTGCCCGCGCTGGTCTCTTGGCAGGAGTCCAGGTTAGACTCTGCGGCGTGGGGGGCATCAAGGAAGGAGACCCAGAGGTGCGGCCACAACTCCTAGGAGGGAATCCGGGGCAGACCTGGAACAGCATGTTTCTCTCCTACCTGTATGTTTGGTTTTATATGTATGTGATTCCAATTTCCCCCATTCCATCCTCCACATGTCCCAAAGTGACATTCACACGGCTCTCCACTCCAGAAGCCAATATTTGCACTTACTACAGGCCAGGCACCATGCTCGGCACTCTGCCCTTAATCGCCCCATTTGATCTGCGCCCTAACTGGGAGGGCAGGGACGCCTCTCCCCCCAAATCACGGAGGCCACGTGGCCCAGCCAGAGGCGCCTAGAGGGAGGGCAGAGCTGGCTTCAGCACCAAGTCCTTCAGAGTCTGGGCCTCGATGCTTCCAATGGGGTTCCCAAGCGTGGCCTTGGATTCTGCAGCAAAGCCCCGGCAAGCCACCCTTCACTCTGTGTCTCCCATTCCTGAGCTCCTGTCTCTTGGGAAGGGGAAGATGCAAAGGCCTCTTGGGGTAACAAAGCTGTTGGCTCTCCATTCTTGGGCATGGCCTGCAGGACACCATTGCAGCCGTTTATTGTGTACCTGGCCCAGGTGATCCTCATGATGCTGTGCGGATGGGTGCCGTCCCATGTCCCAGATGTAGGAGGCTCTCCATGGGGTGGGGACTGCATGCTTCATCTGTCCTTGCCAAGTTCACACCATGAAAAGCCCCTCCTGAGGACAGAGAGGGAGTCAGATGGGTGCTCAAAACTCCCAGCTCAGGCCACAGGGAAGAGGTCAGCGTGGAAAACCAGTCCCAGCAGCCCCGTGGGAATTCACCCTGGGAGAGTCTTACCTAATAGTGTCCTCTGCTTTCAACAGCCCCCACAGGCCCAGGTCTTGGTTAATCCAGGACTCACTCACCCAGGGCTTAAATCCCCCTTCTCTGGGGAAAACCATCCTCCCTGAGGCAGGCCCAGCCCAGAGTCCTCTCTCCAGGTGGTCTCCTTGAAGCCTTCCCCAGCCTTGAGATGAGGGAGAGCGGTCCCTTCCCTACCCACAGGGTAGGACCCAGTCACCCAGTACTCTTTCCACAGAAATCTCCCAAGACACAGCTCTCCTGGCCACTTCGCCTCCACCCTGGGATGGGGGCTAAAGTCACAAAGTTGGCGCTCACCAGCCTCTTTGCAAGTCCTGCAGAAATGAAAACACAGGCCCCGACCGTTCTATGCTCAGCATTTTGGGACCCATTTTAACTTTCTCGTATACTGGTGAACGTCAGCAAAGTCATGCTGGGCAGACACCCTGGGCAATGCAGGAATGTGAGGAAGGCTACAGCCTCCACCACGTTTTACACCTGAGAGCTCATTCCAGAGAGCAGCGCTGTGGGGCCAGTATGGGAGGTCATTCCAGAGACAGTGGAAGTCTCTCCCTCTCACGCAGCCAGTGTGGGAGCACCTCAGGCAAAAATGGAACCTTTTTTCTCACATCGTGGGTTCAGGCAGCTGGCCCAGCCTGGTTGGACCCAGACAGAAGCCTGATGTGCTCTAACCTGGCTGGGCTGCCTGTTGGGTGGAGGAGACTGCCGAGGGGTCAGGGTAGGGGTGAGGTGGGCCAGGAAGACAGACACAGCCAGGGTTTGGGTCTGATGGTCACCTCAAGCCTCCTGGGGTGGAGGAAGTTCACATCCAGTGTTTCCACAAGTGGCCAGGGCCATCTTCATCCTCACAAACAGGTGTCCCCACCTCCCTGGTGCTTGGCGACCCCAGTGTGGAGCAAGGAGGTGAGGGTGAGGCCCTGGAGCTGCCCTGTGTGGAGAGGGAGATGGAGGCCCCGAGCGGGGCTGGTGCGGGTGAGGAGGGCCGCGCTTGAGCCTTTGCACAGTCCTGGCACCCACACTCCCACCTACAGCACCTCCTGCAGGGTCAGGTGTGGGGATGTGTGAGTGGCACCATCTCGGCCTGCATAGAGGTCTTGCAGCCTGCCCCATCCCAGGCCGGGCTACCAACACCCAACAGGGCTGGCATCTGACTCAGAGTCAGCCTCAGATGCTTCCTCTAGGGGGAAATTGGAGCATCTGCAGCCCCACCTGCCTGGTTTCCCTGTTCCAGGCTGAAGAGGGGACACCGGCCTCCAAGGCCAACTCAGAGAAAGTTGGGGGTGGTGGCCTGCTGTCCCTCCATCCAGCCGGCCCTTGCCCCGGGTCCCCCACGATCCAGTCTCTCCTGGAACCCGCGGGCCCCTCTGCTCCACTCTTTAGTGTTTTTTGGGTTCTCTCAGACATTTGCTTTCTCTCCCACTTCAGCTCTCAGAGGCAACGTGGAGTGCCCAGGACGGTGGGCCCAGCAGGTGGTTCCAGGGAAAAGCACGCCGCCTGGAGTGTGCCAAAGACTGACGCCAGAGGCCCCTTCCCGGGAGCCGTGTCTGGAGACCTGGGGGCCTGGCAAGACCCGGCAGAGGCCCCGAGGGAGGCCGAGGAGGGTCGGCAGCAGCATGCCACGCTGGAGGCAACAGCAGGCCAGGGGACCCCCGGAGGGGAGCCGGAGCCCCCAGGCTGTGGGACGGCGGGGGCCAGGCCCCAGGTATCCGAGGGAACCTTGCAGCGAGCCCCTCGCCTCTCGCCAGGCGGCCTGGCTGCCCGTGCGCTGAGTCGGGCAAGGCCTTCAGCCAGCGCTCGAACCTGCTCAGCTACCAGCGCATCCACTCGGGCGCCAAGCCCTTCGCCTGCGCCGTGTGCGGCAAGGCCTGCGTGCGCAACTTGGAGCTCGCGAGCCACCGGCACACGCAGACGGGCGAGCGGCCCTACGCGTGCGGGGAGTGTGGGAAGCCCTTCAGCCATCGCTCCAACCTCCCCGAGCACCGGAAACGGCACGCGGGCGGCGGCGCGCCCTGACCAGGGCCGGCCCGTGCGGGAGGTGGTGAGGCTGGGTCAGCCCGGTGGCCGCGGGGCTCAAAACCCAGCAGCCAGTGGGTGAGGATGTGCAACGCTCCGCCGTTGTGAGCGGTGCGTGCCGGAGCGCAGGCGGGCAGCGCCTGTGGGAGCCGAGGATCGTGGCTGGGAAAACAGATTTGCGACCGCAGCCCCACCGGGGACCCCCGGGGCCAGGTTGGGGACACGTGGGATGGGGAGGTGGTTCACGGGGCGAAGGCAGTGAATTTCGGTCCTGAGAGGGGTGCACACGTGCAAAGACGAGTGAGAATTGAGGGCTCCTGCAGGCGTGTTGGTTTCATCCAGGAACCGGTGACATTGACATCCGAGACCCAGTCCCCGGCTCCCCAGGAGTGAGGGCCGATGTGAGTCCCCGCCCCTGCCTCCCCACCACCGGAGCGGGGTCCGGGGTTGCACACGACTTTAGTCTTCAACCAAGGGCCGGAAGGTCAGAAACCTTGCTCTGGGGACCCAGGCGGGCAGCAGGAGGCAAAGGGGAGGTGTCGGGGTGGTCCTGCCATCTTCAGCTCTCAGCTGCTTCCCCCGCTAGCCCCTGCCCGGTTCTCTCCTCCACAGTTGTGGCCAAGAGTTCGTTTTAAAAAGATAAATCTGGGCAGCTTGAAACACTTGTGGCTTCTGTGGATCCAGTGTCACGTCCACATGCCTCGGGGGAGCACAGTCCCCACGTCGTCCCCTTGCTCGTGACCCCAGCACCCCTGCTTTCCTCTGCCGGGAGGCGCACAGGCAGCCCGCACGCAGACCGGCGCGGGGATTGGAGACACGACGCCGGCAGTGGGGGTACCAGCGCGCGATGGCGTGCCGCAGGAAGGCCTTTGCGGAAGGAGGGGCGAGGGGGACACCTTCCTGGGCTCAGGGGGCGACGTAGGGCGGGGCGAGGCCGCAGCGCAGGCCCCGCGGGCCTGATGGGCCTCGGCATTCCAGCCGCGCTCCCAGCTGCCAGCTCCCACGCCCGGCGGGAAGCAGATTCCCACCTGCGCTTGTGCCTTCCGGGTGGATGCCCCGCTCACTCCGCGCGCGAGCCGCGGTTCACAGGCCCCTGCCCGGGTCCTGGACTCCTGTCTCTGCGTCCTGCCCCCGCCCCTCGGCTGCTAACGCAGCACTGTCCTCGCTGAGCGGTGCGCTCCCGCTCTGTCTAGCACCCTCGCTGGGCCCTCTGGAGGTGGAGGTCCGTCTCTGTGGGGGGGACCGCCCCCAGCACGCTCACTCCAAGAAGGCCGCCTCCCTGGCCTGGCCCCCGACGCCCCTGCTCGCTTCCCAGGCTGGGATTGCCTGGGCCTGCGCCGCTCTGTGCTCTGGGGTCTCCCCTGGAGTCGGTGTGCTTCTCAGTCTTGTCACCTCCCCACATGTTAGGGAGCCTCTTTCTGCCCCTGAATGTGCTCTGCTTCCTCCTGCTCCTGGGTATCCTTGGCCGTGACAGCAGCCTCCCGCGTGAGCTAGTGAGAGGAGCATGGAGAGAGGGACGGGGTGGGGTGCAACTGACTCGAGAAGCCCCTTCTCACCCTGCCGCGCCACCCGGGGAGGACCAGAATTAGCCTGAGGACTCACAGCCGACGCAGACCCCACTTGGCTGTCTGCCAGGTGGCAACGTCTAGTCACAAGGGTCGCTGGGCACCTCTGCTCGTGCCATCCCCAGCACCTGGCAGGGATCAGGGCAGAGGGGGCTGTCTCAGGCGGGGGCAGGCAGGTAAACGACTGTCACTGGGTATTTTGAGGGAATTGATTACCTAGCTTTGTAAGGCTGAAAAAACAGAGAAAACAGAATCCAGAGATTCGTAACTAGAGCAGCTACTACTCTAGGCCCCAGGGTGCAAAAGAGAAGGGGTGACCCTACCAGAACCTCCTGTTGAGAAGGGTCTTGGGCCTCTGAGGAGCTGGCACCATGGCTGTTGCGAGAACTAGGAGGGGTGGGGGATACAGGAAAGATCCTTTGCTCTGAAACACTAGGGGCCTCAGAGGCTGAACACAGCATCTTTATTTGCTGGACACATTGAAGCCAGGCAGTGGCACCACTGGATCTTCGCAGTATTAGGGCCCACGTGGCAGAGCAACCTGCTGTGTATCCAGGACCTGCTGCGTGGCCGTCTCTTGTTCTGGGCCCCATAAAAAACTGCAGCTGATACATGGACTGGAGCAGCACACTGAGGTGTCTATGTTGTGTCCCAAATCCAAGGGCTCCACTGTTCCTCCAGAGAATCCATTGTCCTCTTTTTTTTACTTTTTTTTGAGATTTCAGTTGTACATTATTGTTAGTCATGTTGTGGGTACACCTCTTCCCCCTTTGTGCCCTCCCCCCACCCCCCCTTTTCCCTGGTAACCACCAATCAGATCTCCTTGTCAATATGTTAACTTCCACCTATGAGTGGAGTCATATAGAGTTCGTCTTTCTCTGACTGGCTTATTTCGCTTAACATAATACCCTCGAGGTCCATCCACGTTGCTGCGAATGGGCCAATTTTGTCTTTTTTTATGGCTGAGTAGTATTCCATTGTGTATATATACCATATCTTCTTTATCCAATCATCAGTTTCTGGGCATGTAGGTTGGTTCCACGTCTTGGCTATTGTAAATAATGCTGCGATGAACATAGGGGTGCAACGGACTCTTGGGATTTCTGATTTCAGGTTCTTAGGATAGATACCCAGTAATGGGATGGCTGGGTCATAGGGTATTTCTATTTTTAACTTTTTGAGAAATCTCCATACTGTTTTCCATAGTGGCTGTACCAGTTTGCATTCCCACCAACAGTGTATGAGGGTTCCTTTTTCTCCACAACCTCTCCAACATTTGTCACTCTTGGTTTTGGATGTTTTTGCCAATCTAACGGGTGTTAGGTGATATCTTAGTGTAGTTTTGATTTGCATTTCCCTGATGATTAGCGATGATGAACATCTTTTCATGTGTCTATTGGCCATATTTATATCTTCTTTTGAGAAATGTCTGTTCGTGTCCTCTGCCCATTTTTTGATCGGGTTGTTTGTTTTTTTGTTGTTAAGCCGTGTGAGTTCTTTGTATATTATGGAGATTAACCCTTTGTTGGATAAGTGGCTTGTAAATATTTTTTCCCAATTAGTGAGCTGTTTTTTTGTTTCAATCCTGTTTTCCCTTGCCTTAAAGAAGCTCTTTAGTCTGATGAAGTCCCATTTGTTTATTCTTTCTATTGTTTCCCTCAACTGAGGAGATATAGTGTCTGAAAAGATTCTTTTGAAACTGATGTCAAAGACTGTACTGCCTATATTCTCTTCTAGAAGACTTATTGTTTCAGGCCTAATCTTTAGGTCTTTGATCCATTTTGAGTTTATTTTGGTGTGTGGTGAAAAAGAATGGTCAATTTTCAATCTTTTGCATGTGGCTGTCCAGTTTTCCCAGCACCATTTGTTGAAGAGACTTTCTTTTCTCCATTGTAGGCCCTCAGCAACTTTGTCAAAGATTAGCTGTCCATAGATGTGTGGTTTTATCTCTGGGCTTTCAATTCTGTTCCATGGATATGTGGACCTGTTTTGGTACCAGTACCATGCTGTTTTGATCACTGTAGCTTTGTAGTATGTTTTGAAATCGGGTATTGTGATTCCGCCGGCTTTGTTTTTCTTGCTCAGGATTGCTTTAGCAATTCGCGGTCTTTTGTTGCCCCATATGAATTTTAGGATTCTTTGTTCAATTTCTGTGAAGAATGTTCTTGGGATTCTGATTGGGATAGCATTGAATCTGTAGATTGCTTTAGGTAGTATGGACATTTTAACTATGTTTATTCTTCCAATCCATGTGCATGGAATGTCTTTCCATCTCTTTATGTTGTCGTCAATTTCTTTCAAGAAAGTCTTGTAGTTTTCATTGTATAGATCCTTCACTTCCTTGGTTAAGTTTATCCCAAGGTATTTTATTCTTTTCGTTGCGATTGTGAATGGGATTGAGTTCTTGAGTTCTTTTTTTGTTAGTTCATTGTTAGTGTATAGAAATGCTACTGATTTATGTATGTTGATTTTATACCCTGCTACTTTGCTGTAGTTGTTGATTATTTCTAATAGTTTTTCTATGGATTCTTTGGGGTTTTCTATATATAAGATCATGTCGTCTGCAAACAGCAAGAGTTTTACTTCTTCATTACCTATTTGGATTCCTTTTATTTCTTTTTCCTGCCGAATTGCTCTGGCCAACACCTCCAGTACTACGTTGAATAGGAGTGGTGAAAGTGGGCACCCTTATCTTGTTCCTGTCCTCAGAGGGATGGCTTTCAGTTTTTGTCCATTGAGTATGATGTTGGCTGTGGGTTTGTCATATATGGCCTTTATTATGTTGAGGAACTTTCCTTCTATACCCATTTTATTGAGGGTTTTTATCATAAATGGGTGTT